GGCGGGGGGGGAGCTGGGATAGGGGCGGCCCCGCCAGCTCAGAGCGAGGCTAGGCCGTTCTGAGAGGCGCCCGGTGCCTCAGGGCTGCTATTTAAGCCCTCGTCGGCCTCGTTTTGAGAGAGGCCGGACTGGCCCATTCGACACGGGGCGCGGGGGGGGGGAGCGCACCCCCGCCTCTTGGCTATACCCCGCACTTGGTTTAGCCTCGATCACCCCCATGGACCGCCGCAGTACCTGCTCCCCTCCCCTTGCCAAGGCCCCAGGGATCTCCATGGTGACGGAACCCCCTCAGGCCCGGGGCTTTCCCCTCAGCAGAGCAAGGGCCTGCTGTGACGTGACGCCTGCCTGGCCATGCGCAGGGGGACGGGCCCACGTGGTACCTGAGACCCTTGCCTCAGCTTGGGATCCCCCTGAGCCAGGTGCCTCCCAGGGCCCTGCTACACGTTACATACATCACGCGCTTCGCTGGCCCCGCACAATAAAGTTAGAAGGGCCGCACTCCTGTCATAAAACACCCGCCCACCTCTACAAAGAGCCCACCAGTCACAAAGTTTGCATTTGAAAAATGTGTGACTGCTCTGGAGCTGGTTTGTCTCCAGCATCGTGTGGCCGGGGCTTTTAATGGCAGCTGTGGCACCTCCATCCCAAGACTCACCCCTTGCAGGGCCTTGCCACAGCTTCAGAGGAAAGCCGGATAGAAACCGGCTCTAGGCTTGTTAGGTGTTTTCAAGCATGAATTGTATACAGGGTCCGCTCTTTACACAGCTGGACAGATGTTTTTATTGCATGATAATTTGCATGTGTGGCTGGTTAAAATTTATTGCGCCATTCACCAATGAACTGCATCATATATGTTACGGGTATCAGGAGCCGTAGACTAACCAACGTGTGTGTGTTTGTGTGTGTGTACACATATACACATACAATATACATACACAAATATAAATACAGATATGCACATACACATATATATTTATATATACACACATAGATATACATATGCACAAACACATGCACACATACATGCTCACACATCTATATATACACACACATAAATATACATATGCACACACACATACACACACACACATAAATACACACGCACACACATACATACTCACACACACACATACAGGGGTGGGTCCAGGCGGGTGCCCTGGTGTGCTTGCACCCCCTCTGTTTCTTGCTCCACCCAAAGTTTCAAACCAAGGGCCTAGCAGCAGCAGCAGCATTTCTAGTCAGGCAGTGCTGAGGGAGTCATTGACTTCAATGGAATAACACAGCTTTAGCACCCTAGCATGTTAGTAAAGCTTCTAGTTTATTTTTAACTGGAGAAAAATCAGTGTTGTGTTTTATGTGATGATGCACGTCACCATGTTCACCCCCCTTTTCAAAATTCTAGATCCGCCCATGTAGATATAGCACAAGTTTTCATGAGCTGAGGCCTAGGTAACTATGCATCTCTGTCTCTGCTGCTGATGCCTTCCATTGACATTACATGTAGCCCTGCATTATTTATTTCTTTGAAAAGCTGGAGAAAGTTAGTTCTCATTGAGCCTTGTGCTTCCCATGAGTTAGCCCCTTCCCCTCCCCAAAATACAAAGTTTTAAAACTTTCGAGGGTTTTTTTTAAATTATATTTCTGGGCTGCTTTAATAACCTTTTCATTTCTAGGCATATACTGGAAATGAATAATATAGGAGAGGATATAATAGGATCTTGTTTTCAAGCCTTTTTTGTAACTATGAGAGCTAAAAGTATATGGAAAGTATAGAAGGAAGTATGGTACACTGGGCCTTGGCAGATTTGGGTTCAGGTCTCTGCTCTATCACAGATTTGATCTTTGACCTTGAATAAGGCACTTAGGACCTGATCCAAGAGAGCAATTATGTGCAATATAGGTGTCCGATCCAGGAGTGAAATCCTTAGTGAACCCCCAACCTGTGTTCCTACTCATGAAGTTCCCCTCTCTCTATCTGGTCTCACAGACTCAGGGGGCCTATAACCTCCTTAACTACAGCCTTCCATATCCACCTATCCTGCACAATCACCTTCCACCTTGTTGTGTCTTCACTTATCCCTTCCAGGTCTACCTCACTGATCCTCCCCCTCAGTTTTCAAAATCTGCCTCATATGCCTTCTCTTGGTTTTCGCGATATGCCCCCACCAGTTAATTCTCTATGCTCTTATCTTGCTCAAGACATCTGTGAAGTTTCTCAGACACCAAAAATTCTGCTCCTGTCTACGCAGAGAACTGACTCCATCTTGTCAGTGTTGAGCAGGTTGGTACCTATTTTAGGCTGAAGTTTGATTGGGATCCATAAAATAGGCATTTCTCTGTCTTTCTCCCCTGATCCAGTAGCTGTGTTCTGCGTATTTATTTGATGACTATTTTGAAGCTAAGACCATAACCCAGTTCTTCCCCTTCCCCTAATCATGGTATGCCGGAGTCCTTCATTCTGGTCCAATGATTCAAGAATTATTTTTTTCTCAGCAACATAACTTCACCAGGGGGCTTGAGAACACTGTCCCAGTGGCCTGGGTTTTAGGTTGCTCCCGAGAGGTGGCAGATATATGCCTGAATGCCCCTAGAGCATAGAAGCCAATAAATCCAGGTCCTCCACAACCACTAGTTTAAAAGTAGGTAGAACCACTTCCACTCCCTCCTTCTCTAGCATTGTTTTAAATCAGTGGTTATCAACCAGGGGTACGTGTAACCCTAGGGGTACTTAAAAGGGTCGTAGGGGGTATGCAGAACTGATATGGCAATTGCCATGTGTGTGGGCACAGCACACGGGCAGCCAGGAGTGCAGCCCAGCCAGGTGGAGAGTAGCCAGGTCTGGCTGGTAGGTCTGTTGTGGGGGATGGGGAGTTGGGGAGGGAGGGGGACTGGGGCAGGGACAAGGGATGTTCAGCCTGGGCAGGGCATGGCACTGAGCTGCATGGAGAGGGGGGTGGCTCCCGCTGCTATGCGCACCCCGGGAGGGCATGGGGGGGCACATGCCCCCAGACCTGTATACAGGGTGGGGTGGAATGAGGCTGGGGTGGTGCCGGGCTCTTCCTGGAGGGGGGCTGGGTCAAGTAGCACTCGGTCCGAGTAGCACTCGGAGTGGGGGGTGGTAGCAGCACTGGGAGGGGGAGTTGGGATGGGCTACGGTGAATTCTGGAGTGGCTGCAGCCACCTCCCTGTAGCCCTGCCTGTGCCCCATGTACAGATCTGGGGGCACATGCCCCCCTATGCCTATCCAGGGGTGTGTGTAGCGATGGGAGCTGCCCCACCTGTGTGTGGCTCAGTCCCATGCCCTGCCCCAGCTGGGCAGCCCCTGCCCCATCTCCACGCCCTCCCCCATCGCTAGGGGCTTGATCCGGCTCCCCTCCCTGCAGCGGCAGCCCGACCTAGTCTTGCATGCAGATTTGGGGACACATGCCCTCCATGCCCTCCTGGGGTGCATGCAGTGGTAAGAGCTGCTCCCCTCTCCCTGTGCCCTCCAGACGAGTCACTCGCGGCTCTGTCCCATGACCTGCCCCAGCTGCGTAGTGCCTGCCCCAGCCCCACTCCCCACTCAAAGCTGAAACTTTGAGACAGAAGGTGTACACTGGTTAAAAACTGTTGAAAATCCCTGCCTTAGAAAGCATGTGTATGTAGTCTAATGCACTATTCCGTTCAGATTCTCAAGTGTGTGTGTGTGCACGTGGGTAGATCACAGAACCTGCCTTGGGGTCACTCACATGGTAATAGTTCCTGTTTGTGCATGTTCTTATGGGGTTATGGTCTTACAGTATGTACAGTGCAGCAGGGCAGAAAACACATTTCATACGTTCCTAACTGGAGATTCAAGCCCACTTTTCTCCAAATATTCAAAAACCAAGGGCTGTTTTCCAGCCAAACATCTATTTTCTAGCTTCTGCTACAGTGTCTTAAAAAATGTAGCAAGATACACACTCTCTCTCTCCCTGTCTCTCTCTCTCTCTCTCTCTCTCTTCTCAAACACAAAGAAAACCCACTTACTCCAACTTGGCTCCATGTTTTAAAATTTTAAATACAAAGGAACCTTTTAATGACAATTAAAAATTAAATATAAATTAATACAATAGAGTTCATTCCTGGAAAAATCACAGATGGAAGTGACATTTTTAGCTAATTTTGCACAACTGAGGACAATAAACTTAGAATAGAAATATTTAGGCCAAGGGTTCTCAAACTGTGGGTCGCAATCCCATGGGGGGTCATGAGCAACTTAAAAGGGGGTCGTGTTGGGGAGGAGTGTGGTGGGGGGCATGTTGGGGAGGGGTGCGGCACCGACACGAAGGGGTTGCCATTGGCATGTGCCTAGGGGTGCCATCACTCCACACTGCTGGCTTTGCATCTGGCTGCTCACCATCCCCCCAACCCACTCTGTGCTGAAGAGCAGCTTGTCTGGGGCAAACAGGATCTGTGCACTGCCCAGGCTTGGCCCCTCAGCACCAAATTTCATTGCCTTTCATTTCTCCTACATAGTCCTAATGAAATCAATAACTTTAATGGGGGGGGGGCGTGGGGGGGGGTTGCGTAAATGTATATATTATTTTACGAGGTCATGATATCACAAAGAGAACCCCTGATTTCGGCAATTTTAACAACATCTTTGTATGATTTGCAAAGTAGCTTGCACAAAGGAACCCTGTCAGCTCTGAAGTATCAGGGCAATACTGCAATATATATATATATTGAGAAATAAATATAATTTATTCTTAGTTTATCAACAGTAATGAATGAGAATAAAACTGCTTGTGGCTATTGCTCCAGCTCTAATCAAATCAGCAGATACTGTAATCTACAGCTAATAGGATTCTAATTCAGCCATATATGGCCCAAAAGGACATTTGCACAGGTTGCTGTTGTAATAAAGCAAAGACATCAGCAGTTTATCTACTTGGCAGTTAACTACCAGCAAACATAATTACCACTAGATTCTTTTGATTCTGGTATCCTGCAGAAGGCCTTGTGCCCTCTTGTGGACACAAGTAAGTGGAACTCAAAGTTACATCTGCTCATTTTAAGTGATTTTTAGTATTCAGCATGTTTCCATCTGCTCTTCACGGTTTCACTATAGTAAATTAGATTTCTTGATCAAATTTTATATATATATATTCATTTCAAGCAGATAGGTGGTACTTCATTAATTCACTTGAATTAGGGAATGAAAAAAAATCCACACCTCCCTGTTACAAATGATTGATTCTTTCAATCATATATTTCCCAATAAGGCAGCTGAATTGCAAATTTGATATGCACAGCATGAGCCTCTTTGGTCAAGGGAGTACCTTCTATTGATGAAGAATTAATGGAATTTAGCTCAAGCACATTGCTACCATGCCATCTTCCTCATCCTTACATAGAGCACTTGTATTTGCCAGGGGCTTTGAACCTCTTCCAAAGCAGCTCTGGATTTTGTTTAAGTCTGAGGGATAAAACTGTCAACAGCTGGCTCATTGCACAGATTTCATCTGCAAACCTGTGTCTTTTTCATTGTCTTGTGCTGCTGGTAGTTGAAAGAAGGGATGCGATGAGACTACAACATTGCATTGTATATGTATGGGGTATGGGAGGGTGGCAGGAGACACTGGAAAATGCAGGAGATTGCTAATGATATACAGGACCTGATTTGTCTACTGGTGACACAAGGTGAAGAAAAGCAGTGAATTGAGACTCAGGTCTGGCATCTTGAGCTACCCATCTTCAACCCCACATAGTTAGCAGTGCCCAAAAGATGTGCCACCTGAGGGTTCAGATCACTAAGCAAAATAGTTCTTGTGGTTTCAGTTCAGTGGATAAGTCTTTACCCCATGCAGCTTAGAGTCCTTTTTCCAGGCCTAAGACTAAGTGGGGAAGGAGACTATGAAATTATCTTGCACTGAGGCATGCTCCTGCCAGAAGCCAGGGTCTACAGAAGGAAAGACTTCAGTTTTCAGGACTATGACACCAATCCTTAATTCACAAATACAAAGATCTTGTGCTGTGCATGTAAAGCTGCAAATGACAAGGTCAAGCCATGCATAAAAATCAGTTTACAGTTACAACAGCATAGGGGGAGATTAAAGAGAGCGAGAGAAAGTGAGAGACAGAGAGACAGACAGAGACATTTTAGTTTGGAGCCAGACAGGGCAGGAGACCACCTTTTTCAGAAAGGTATAAACTGAGAAAACAAGACTTGTGTCCTGTTAGGTTAAGGGAGTACTTCTGATCAAAGATAAATACCTGTCTTTATATATATCTTAGGAGATAGGACAGATCTTTAAATGTTAAATTTGTTATTAGCTCAGCTGGATAAGTTAAAAAAGCACAAGCTTTTGAAGGCCACAGCCTACTCTGTCAGATGCTGTGAATGGACTGGTCATATCATCTAACAAAGTAGGCTGTTGCCTCCAAAAGCTTATACCTGTCTGAACAAGGTGGTCTCTATGGTGCCATCCTGTCTTTGCCAGTAGCATAAAGCAGGAATATAAGGGGAATCAAAAACCAATAAAAAACAGGATCATTGTCTAGCAAACATTTTTTCATAATGGAAAGGGTTCTCTTACAGTAAAGTAGAGAAGCCCCAGCCAAGATTAGGGCTCAGTGATGCCACGCACTATGTATACACCTAGTAAGGAACAGTCTGTGCCCCAAAGAGCTTACAATCTTAGCATGAGACATACAAGGCAGTATTAGTATCCCCATTTTACTCATGGGGAAATGAGGCACAGAGAATGTGAATGACTTTCCCAAGACCATACAGAAAAATTGTGGTTGACGTAGGAAGGGATCCCTTAAATCATAATCAAATCTCTTAATTCATTTCTGTTGTTTTTAATCAAGTGACAGATTTGCATTGCTGAACCAGAAACTCAGGCAGTTACTTACTGCCAGGCTGTTTCTGTGATTGATCTCTACTCTCAGAGCTGTTAAAATATCACCCAGAAAAATCCTTGCCTCCTGCATGTCTCCAGGGCCATCACAGCTACAGCATCACTCCATTTTTATTCCTTGTTTTTTAATTGGAAACACTCTCTCTGAGAGCTCATCGCAGCATATTTCTCAAAATCAAGAGCTGAGTGTTTTACTCACAGTAACTATTTTATTCAATATATTGACTCTTTTTTTTGTAGGGCGATGAGCAAAATTGGATTCACTCTTGTGCATTTGCTCTCTGAATGGCAGGCTCAGTGGCTAAAGATGAAAGTATATGTCTGGGGGGGGGGAGTTCAGGGTTCTAGCATCAGCTAGATGCTTTGCGTTGCTGTGGGGTTTTTATTGAAGTCACTTCCCTTCTCTGTGCCTCAGATTTTCCCATCAGGGTTGTTGTGAGGTTTAATGCATTGATGTCCATACATTTTTTTGAGATCCATGGACATGAAACTGGAAATACAAATAATTCTATTCATTATTATTACCAGTCACTACTTTCAAACCAGAGCAGAAAGAATATCCCCTGGATGAAATGCACTTGGAGAACCGATTTCATTTGACAATCTCAGCAAAATAATTTGGAACTGCACAGAACGAGGAGGGGAGGACTGCAGTTTTACAGCTGCCTGAAAGAAGAAAGGTGTTTAGGATTTGTTCCCACTACAAGTGGCCCTGCCAGATTTTTTTCCCCTTAATGCCCAGATGACAAAGCAGAGAACTCTCTTGCAAGGTAGAAAGCCTAATCTAGAGTGGTTTGGTCCCGCATTGTATTCAGTACCAACCAACCAAGATGGAATCCTTAAGGGGACCTGGAGAAGCTACACGGATAGAGTATATCTGATAAGATAAATAATAAAATAAAAGCACTACTACAAACTACAAGCAATAGGAGAGCTGCCTGGAGACTATTCAACCAATGTTATTTTCCTGATGGCTCTTTGCAAACCCTGCGTTTTGCTCCTATAAACCCCGCACTGACTTCAAAGTGGAAGGGTTGAGGTCTGGGGGATTCTCCCCTGCTGGATTAGAAGAAAAAACCGTCTACTGAATCCAGCTCACAGCCCCTGTTGCACAGAGGAGCAGAGCCGAGCGGATCCCGCTCTCAGCTGAACTTGGCATCTCATCAGCTCAGACCTTTGCAGAGGCACGAAGCAAACTCGCCTTGGCCAGATTTCCCTATAAAAAGATTTGGTGTTTGTTTTATTTTGCTGTGGGAAGGATTAAGGAGCTGTTCGCCTCCCCTGGAGGCAGCTGGCCACTCACTCTCCTTTTCCGCCTGAAGCGGACAGACAAGGCAGTGGATGAAAACGAGCGGGACTTCACTGGGGGGAAGGGAGGGGGCTGGGTTTCTATGGCCACCATTAATTTGAGTTTAGGCACTTATCTCCCTGGAAACAAGAGGCTGGTCTGGACCTATTTATTTAGTTTTGAGCCCCTGCTTCCCGGCACTCACAGCGCGCCCGGCTCCCGGCGCAGGAGGGACGGGAACAAAGCTGCCAAGAAGTTTGGCCGCGCTCGCTCGGATCCCGCGGCTCGCAGCGCAGCGCTGGGGCTGGGGCTGCAAGGGGCGCTCGGATCCCCATGCAGCGCCTGAAACTGACCAGCCCCGGGTGCAATTGACCAGCCCTGCCCTGCCCTGCCCTGCGCGGGGGCCGCGGAGATGAACGGCTCGCTGAACACGTCGCGGGGCGGCGAGGCGGGCTGGCAGCCCGAGTCCGTGCTGCTGCCGCTGGTCTACTCGCTCATCTTCCTGGTGGGCACGGTGGGCAACGCGCTGGTGCTGGCGGTGCTGCTCCGCAACGGGCAGGTGCACAACACCACCAACCTCTTCATCCTCAACCTGGGCGTGGCTGATCTGTGCTTCATCGTCTTCTGCGTGCCCTTCCAGGCTACCATCTACACCCTGGAGGGCTGGGTCTTCGGGCCCTTCCTCTGCAAAGCCGTGCACTTCTTCATCTACCTGACCATGTACGCCAGCAGCTTCACGCTGGCCACCGTGTCCCTGGACAGGTAAGAGGAGCTAGGGAAGGGGCTAGGGCTCTGGAGCTCCTGGGCTGCCCGGGTGTCTAGGGTGTTACCTGAGGTCCTCTGTGGTTGACGCCTCGGGTAGAGCTTGGTCCTGCCTCTCCGGTACTCCCAGGTCGCTCCCTGCAACTTTTTAGGGGTTCCTGGAGGAGCTGGAAGGGCGGCACAACCAGGGACAGCAGCAGCTGGGTGAGGTGTGGTGGAGAGGGCAGGACAAGGGACCCCATTCACACACACCCAGTTGGCTCACACGGGTTCTTTGCAGGGCTAAGAGTTCCTGTGCCCAGTCTCAGGCTGCACCTGGAGAGTCGCAAGCTCAGCTTTGTACATTACACGTGGGAAGCAGCAGTTCAGAGGGAAGAGGACTTGTCTGCTGAGCTTTGCAGTGAGGCTTTGTCCAGCTGAGCTACCGCAGGGCAATTCCCTTGGCAGGGTAACTGGCACTCTCAGAGCTGCGGTGAAGGAACTGGTCACCCCTGGAAAGGAGCGGAGGAACTTGGGCTGGGCTCATGCCTAGGAGCGGGACAGAGAGAACCAGGAGCACTTGCTGGGAAGTGTCCAGCTTTGCAGAAGGGAGCTCGGAGCCAGGGCTCAACTCTCAGGCCACTTGCTGGACCTGATTCTCTTCTCCCAGGGCCAATCTCTCCTCTCAGTGTAAATCAGGAGTAACTTTATTGAGAGGAGAGGAGCTAGAGTAAAACTAGTGTAAGGAGAAGAGAACCTAAGGAGATACTTCCCCAGTATCTCTTTAATAGGGCAGGGGAAAGGAGGTGGGGTAGGGGGACAGGGCAGGGACTGCAACTGAAGTGCTGTGGTTTAAGTAGAATTCATGTAGATCCTTTCCAGCACAAAGATTAGCTACAGGAGAAACCTATGAATCCAGCTCTACACTGGTACATCAGCATTTAGGATTTACACCACAGCTGGAGCACAAATATACAATGCACTGACATCTCTGCACAGACTCTGCATGGAGATTGGTAGAGTGCTTTTGAATGTGGAGTAAGCTATTTCCTCCTTAGTGCTTGCTGGGTGCATCATGATCTACACATGCACTTTACTGTAGAGTTGCACAATTAACTCCACAGTAAAGCATCACAGTTTACATATGCACTCTTATTAGGGTGCACTAAATTAATTAATTCCGCTGTAGGAGAGTACTACCCATGACAAGTACTGTCCTACAGCAAAGTACTTATGTGTGCTGAAACACACTTGTTGACTGTGACCAGGGCTGGCCGGGGCATGAGAACGCTTCAGTGTTGGGGCTGCCTGCCAGCTAGCTCTGCACTGTAGCACCCTCACGCCCCAGAGAGCCCCGATGCCACTGACTGCCACCTGGAGCTCAGGGCTGATGTCAGGCTACCTGCTTCGGGGCAGCTGCTCCCAGGAGCACATGAAGATGCTGCACCCGGGAGCATCTGACTCTGGCACAAATTGTGCTGGAATTTATTAAGGTGCATGAATTGTTCATGTAGACATGCCCCCTGAGTCCACACTGGGAATTCGTCCAGAGCATCCAGTGTGTTGTAGGTTCACACCTTAGCTTATTACACAGTAACTTCCCTGGAGACAAGCCCTCAGGATATGCCTGCACTACAAATAAAAACTAGAAATAGACTTAGCCCAAGTTAAAGCAAATTCTCACAGAGAAGTAAGGCTGGATGGGACCTCAAGAGATCATCTAGTCCAACCCAGGACAGAACCTGCAATCTTGATGTTATTAGCACTATGCTTTAACCAACTGAGCTAGAAGTTAAAATCCAAGTTAGGACATAGTAGTTGTTTTAACGCAGCTTAGAGCTGAAATCTAAAATCTTTACCTCTACACCTACTGACTCATTCAACTACAATTGACTTGTCTTTTCAGGGGTTTAAGTTAAGTAAAGAACAGACTTCTTTCAGTGAAATATCATTTACCAATAGTTACACAGTTTGGTATTTCCATAGCAGTGAATGCACCAAACTAAAGACAGATGCATAAGGATGTGAAGCATACAGGTCAAACTGCACTAGTAACCAAAGAGAACTAGATCTGGATCAGGTACAAATCCAATGAAAGCATGGCTGAAAAAGGCAGGATCACTCATGAAAAGCAAATGGGGCTTCAGTACATGAGAGTGTTCATTAAACTGAAGAATTTAAATGGAGGAGCAGAGTTCTGTGGATGCCTCAGGTCTTGTGGCAGAATTTATTCAGATCATCAGAATGAAAAACATCAGCTGAGAACGCAGCTGGAAAGATGACAGCAAAGGAACTCCATAGGACTAGTTTGCAAATCTGTTGTTTCTGTTGATGTGCAGTTACTTACGGGATTAGGTATACATGCTGGCCACTGCTGACTAGCATAAGAAAGACGTTTGCAATCTGGCCCCAAATGATCAGAAGCTCATCAGTTTTTGAAATTGCTATAAGGACTGCAGAGCTAATGGGAAATACAGAAGGCAGGTGAAGCATTTTAAAAGAAACTGGGGCTATATTCTGATACATACATCTGGAGTGAAGCTGTTTGGTTCTAACTAATTGCTGTAGATGTATATTGATATAATGGGGTTAAAACCTGTCTTTGGATTGTTTTCACCAGCATGTGAGAACTGTGTTAGTTAGGTTACTAGAAACTAGAGAGAAACAAAGCTATTTACTTACTGTTAAGTGATCCTGTCATAAGAGGTTCAGAAGCAGATGCAGTAAGATAAGCTGTAGCTCCTGGATGAGTTAAGGAACTACTAGAGAAAGATTATTTGCATTTTGATATGCTGCAAAACAAGCACATCATTTAAAGAAGAACAAGCAAATTAATTTTAGTAGACTGTTTCTCCTTCCAATCTAATGCCCTGTAATTGTGTTACCTGAAAGGCTCTCTCTCCAACATGCCAAGCTAATAATAGCAATAGCAACAATAATAATATAATCATATATACTAATGATAATGGGAACAATACAGTGACTATTCCAATTGGGGCCAGGGGCACTGGGTACAGCAGACCTAAGTTTGCTTTTCCATTAAAATCATCTTACATGTCAGCAACCTTTGCAGGTGAAGCCATCTCTAATGAAGGCAACCTGCAGCTTCTGACATTTACAATCTCACTTTGCCTGCTGCTGATCTTGGCCACCAGTTTATCCTTCCAGTGGCTGGGAAGTAATTAATTTGCAGCAAGAAAGAAAAGTGACTCTTGAAGCTATTCTATTGCATTTTTTATTCCTGGAGCTCAGGGTACTTGAAACTGGAGAGATCTTTGGGTCTTAGGAACCAGGTGAAAAAGAACCCCAAACTCCTTTGTGTAACACCCTGTCCCACAAAAGCAATTTTAGAAGAGAAACTAGATAGAAAATTGGCTTTACTTTGCCCTTAAGAAAGCAAGATTTTAACTGGTGTTATTGTGCAGTTTAGTGTCTAGCATGCACTTGTCATGGAAGGAGTCTGAGACGGGGGTATATAATTAAAGCTGATCCAAGGCCCAGTTTTTCTCTGACACTGGAGTAAGATCAGGAGTAAGTCTGTGGAAAGCAGTAGAGCTACATGCATGCAAAGCTATTGTAAAATAAGTGAGACAAAAATCTGAGCTGTAGGAGTGTGATCTACAGACAGGAGATGGCAGAGCAATAATTTACACCTTTACGTGATCAGTGTGTTCCCGTTATCTCCCATTATGGGAAAAAAAAGCAATGGGACCAGTGCGCAAGATCAAAGCAAGCACATCCTGTGCTTCTCATCTCCTCTCTCTCACTAATTCATCACCTCCAAACAGCAGCCTCCTCACCGGTGCATTTTAATGCTTAAATACACTGAATCACACCCACCCACAACTAGCAATCCCCATAATGGAGTTGGCATCACATACCCTCCATGAAAAGATGGACCACTTTTTCAAAGAGGCGCCATTTCTTTTCATTTTTAAGGCACTTCTCCATCATCAGATCTTGTTGCATGACTTGCTGCAATTCCAGGCTTGCATTTGAGCAGGATAATTATATTTGCTCACCTTCCTCAGAAGCATTGGGTATTGGCTGCAGCCAAGGCTGGGGATTTTGACTGGGGAGTGCTGATACTTCTAGTGGGATTGAACAACCCAAATGTTCTTCGTTAGAGAGTCTTACTCCTTTGCTTAGGGCCAGATCGATCATCACATTTGGGATCAGGAGGGAATTTTACCCCACAGCCAGAGTGGCATGGGCTGTGGGGTTTTGCCTTCCCTTGTATGGCAGGTGAATGGCCCCATTCCTTGCCTCTCTCAACTACATTTCAAACTACTTCCTATCCCTGCAGTGGCAGGACATTGTCAGTTCCCTCATGCCACTGTTTTACCTGTGACAAGTTAGGATGTTCTTTAGTTCGGAGGCATTGTGCCTGGTATTTATGCAAAGGGGTGTTCATGAAGTTTTAATAAGTTGGACCACTGGTGTTCAGCCTTCTGGCCCTGCCGGTCCATGGGCCATGTGTGAGGTCAGTATACAGGCCTAATCTAGCATAGGGATGGCATGTACTCCAGTTGCTAGATCAGGCTACTTTCCTTCACTCTTGCTGTTATTGTTACCCACGCTAGCTAGGTGAAGCTAGTTTAGGTATACTGCTACATGGTCCCATCACACCTATATTTTGCTGAGTAGTCATACCCTCAAAAACAGAATGAGACTGAATTAGAAATTGTACTAGGAGGGTGAAGTTGAGCATTTCAGCCGTTTTTCCTTGTGCTCTCCCCAGATCCTCAGGCTTTGCAAAGTTCTCTCTAATGTAAACAGAACTGTAGTTTTGTTTCTCTCTCTCTCTCTTTTTCCCTTCTAGGTATTTGGCTATAAGATACCCTCTGCACTCCAGAGAACTAAGGACCCCCAGGAATGGTCTCACTGCCATTTGCCTCATCTGGGGTCTTTCCTTTATTTTTTCTGGTCCCTACCTCAGTTACTACGAGGAGTTCCAGACAGCCAACCTCACTGTCTGCCATCCCATTTGGAAAATCTCCCAACGCAAGATCATGGATCTCTGCACATTCATCTTCAGCTATGTTATCCCAGTGCTAATCCTAAGCCTCACCTACATGAGGACCATCCGTTACCTCTGGACATCTGTGGACCCCATTGAAGACATGTCTGAGTCCAAGAAGGCTAAGCGCAAGGTCACAAGGATGATCATCATTGTAGCTGTCCTCTTCTGCCTCTGCTGGCTGCCCCATCACCTGGTCATCCTGTGTGTCTGGTTCGGTTACTTCCCTCTCAACCATAACACTTATGTGCTTAGGATCCTTTCACACCTGATCTCTTATGCCAACTCCTGTGTTAACCCCATTGTCTATGCCCTGGTCTCCAAACACTTCCGCAAGGGCTTCAAGAAGATCTTCATCTGCCTCTTGCACAAGAAGGTGGCCAACAAGGTGCATGTAGCTCAAGTGAACAACACGGTCAGCACCTTAGAGGCAGATCTGACGGAAGTAACACACATCAGCGAGCCTCCACATGCCAGGTCCTCCACCTGCTGCCAGCTCCCAGCCCAATCATGGGGGGAGGCAGAACTGGTTGGACGTCCACAGAAAACAGCCAACTCCTTCATCACCTTCAATGTTACCTAATGGAATTTTATTTCTTTCAGACTTTGAAAGATCTTCTGAGTCCAGGACAGTTTCATGGGGACCTGTACAGGATTTTAGGCTTAAATAGACCTCATATGGCTCTCCCCATTTTCCATTAAAATGCTCAAGCAGGTATTTCACCCTTAGAGTGATGCTGGTTTCTAGCCTCTCAGGCAAGAGAATGGCCAGGACTTATACAGAGAATATGGTTTTATGGATGTCCTGTCAAGATCATGTGGCTCCAGCAATCAAAGTCTACTTTCTCCAAACCAATTTTCATGTACAATAGCATATGATCTCCTGCCTTGTTTTAATGGTCAGTGAGTGGGCTGTTTTTTATTTTCTATTTTAACCCTCCCAGTAAGACGTGAGTGATTTGATTTCCTTCAAGGATTTTAAAGGTCAGGAATAATTTTGCTTTTTCAATGCAGGGAAAGGGTTTATGGGAGCCATGTCTTAGTTCACCTGCCATAGGACTAGAATCATTTCTAGAGATCTCAAATAGAGATCTTCTTCCAGCTCATTACTGGATTGGTAAAAGGCTTTCGGAAATAATGGCCAAAAGTGTGGAGGGGAGAGGGCTGCTTGCTGACAAGGATCTTAATATTGTCACAGAGAAGCATCTAAAGAAAGGCAGTGGAGTGTGACCCACAAGTCACACAGATAAAGCAAGAGGAAAAGAACAAGTTCTGTTGAAAACCTTCCCACTTTGACTAACATTTTTCGTTACTGTGATTTAACGTGGTCTTGCTGCTCTTGGCCTGCTTTCTTGATAGATATGTAGAACAGTAACTCTGGGCTGTGTTTCTAATTACCAATTACAGGACAGAGGCTGTGTGCAAGGCACATGCACAGAGTCCATGTTCAGTGGACCAATCATCCCACTGCTGCTGCTAGGAGGCTTTGCTCTGAATTCAACTCGATGAAGAAAGAAAGCTTGGACAGAAAGAAAATGACTGAATTATTTGGTTCTCTTTGCTGTCTTTGGACACTTACATATTTAAGAGACTCTCTTCACAGCTCATTGAGTTTCTCCTTCACTGAGGTCACTATCTTGCATTTATATGACATCAGTGCGTTGCCATGGTGTTGGCTGCAGTGTCACAAATTGAGCATTTCGAGTCCAGTTCTTCACTGCCAGGTTTCACGTGCGGTCACTAATGCTTACGCAACACAAGAGCAAAAGGTGGCCTTTTATAACATTTTATTCACACTTTGTTCAGGTGTAAAAAGCATCATGAGAGATGAAGGACAAACCTTTTTCAGTGGCATTGCTGAGGAGGATACCCATGCCTAAATAAATATAGTGTGCTGTAGTCTCCACTCCACTTGGGAATGAACCAGAACACCTGGAACCTAGGCAGGCTTGGAAAGGGGTAGCATTGCCCCAGCAAACGCAAATTTGACCTTTGACATGACACTGGTTCAGCTGGTTAGGGCCCAACTGAACAAATTTGCCTACTTGTTATAAATCCATTATGCATCAAGCCATGCGGTACATTGGAGTGCATGCCATTTCCTGAGAAATTTGTGGCCAATACTTAGATCACTGCAGACACCAGTCCCAAACTCTAGGCTGCGTTTGACTCAGTTAGGCCCCTTGTCTGTGAAGAATCTTTGAGCCCAGAGCACAGGTACTGCAAGAGTCTAAGCTGCTACCTCTGATGTTGCAACTTCCCCTCACCATAAGGGCCTTTTCACAGCTAAGAACATGTGTGTCATACTGGGTCAGATCAGTAGTCCATCTAGCTCTGTATCCCATCTCTGACAGTGACAGCAGTGGCTGCTTCAGAGCAGTGGTTTTCAATCTGTGGGTTGTGGACACCTGGGGGTCTGCAGACTATAAGGGGTCCATGAAAGATGACTATGATCAATCAAAAGTATGTGAATACCTACACTTGTAATTCCAAGGGGTGTGCACCTCCATTTGAAGTTTTTTTTAGGAGTCCACAAATGAAAAAAAGTTGAAAACCACTGGTTTAGAAGGAGAGCATATGAACAGGGTATATCTGGTGTGATACCTATAATACCCTCACCATCTTTGGTTCAGAGATGCATCCATGACGTTTCCATTTAATAACTACTAATGGATCCAACTATCATCCATGAATTTGTCCAGTCCTTTTGTGAGCCTGTCTATACTATCTGCCTCTACAACCTCCTGTGGTAAAACTCTGCCTTTCCACTCTGTTCCACTCATCAGATTTCTTGTATTATCATCTGCCATCTATTAATCAACCCTTCACTGTCCCTGAGCAGACTGATCTGAAAAGCACCTACCTTCCTCTCCTCTGCTACGATGTCTATAAGAAACCTGCTGGTTTATGATGGGCAGAGAGAAAAGTAGCAGAGATTAGTTGGCGTTCACCATAATACAACATATAATTGTATATACATGTACATTAAAATGATAAATATTTGACTGTATTTAATACATTTTTTTCTTTTTGACTGCAAGCTCCTGGGATCAAAGATCATGTGCTGAAGTGTATTTGTAGAGCCAAGCACAATGGATCTTGAGGCTCCCTGAGTCCCAGGGGGCAATTACAATGCAAATGTTAAAAAAGTATAAAAAAGATAGATGTTTGCAGAGCACCTCTATCGGCTGGAACCACTTTGGACATATGGGTAGCACACACCCTGGCTCCCATGACCCTGACTGCCTGCAGTCAGATTTTAGGTTAAGTTCTGTCTGTGCTTTACGGGCTGCCCACAGACTGAAGCAACTAATCATTTCCATGAATATAAGAGATGCGAAGGTTGGCCTGGTCACAGTCTGGATCTCGAGGCATGCATTCAGCCTTCCTGAAAGTGATGGCCTAAGTGCTAGAGCCCTGCAAGAAGGGTGCCCAAGGGAAACGAGAGACCGATTTTGAGCCAGGAACTAGATGGATGATACTATTGATGTGATAGTCTGCGATAAGATTAGTGGGCTATCCATATATGGGAGCATGGGGTTTCTCTCTGCAGTGGGAATAGAGCAACATAGACTCTCACACGGTGTATATACCTGTACTCACTACCATATTTTGTTATTTCATACACTGCATATATAGTACTGCCTTTAATTTCCATGCATTTCTGAATGCTTTGCAGGATGTTCAGAGAGATCACTTGATCTCTAAGCTTGAAATAGGGCCATCTTTAGAGTGAAGAGAGCCCTACAGAAGACAGCTTGAAAGAGGAAATGACAAATTACATAGCCAAATTACCTTGCCCTAAACAGTCTGCCCTTAATATGATGTTTAATCCCACAAAAGGCACCTTGATTAGTTCCCAACATGGGGTACTGGTTTAGTACTGACTCACTGCGAAGAGATATCTACTGGATTACCATTTCTTTGCACCACTAAATGTTCCTTGGGATGCTCCTATCCAAATACAGACTCGGCCATGTAGCATAGCCAACAAGGTATTCCATGAATACTTAGTCCAGCATATGACTGATACTGTGTTGTGACACTAGGCAGAACAAACTGTATTAGATAGTGTGGGAACTAGAGGGTGAACCATACGGTCTGTCTGCATCTAGCTGCCTCAATAAAGAATCACCTTTATATTGATGATACCCAATCTCCTTGTTACCTTGCGATATGCTGTGTTCTACCCTGCTTTCTTTTTGTAAAGTGGACGGAGAGTGGCATTGCTTTTCCTTCATGAGGGTCCCAGCTGTTCTCCCAACAGACTTAAAGGATACAAGCCAAGTTAGAAACTAGTTCTGTTGATGATAAATACTTCTATACGCTGTGGGGAATGTTGGCTTATCTCCCTTTTCCTCTAAAGCAGGCATCTCTTGGTAAGTGTGGTCTCCTCCCAAGGGGGTGGGGGAGGCCATAACAGGATCTGTGCATGACCTTATGGGTAGCAAAGGATACCTTACATGAAAAGCTAGTGAGCAGATCTACCCTATGATCTGTTGTTCCCCACCAGCCCTTGAATGCAGTTGGCAGATTTCAGCCATGATGTAAACAGGAGTTGCATCTATATACATGAGCCCTGAATTGGACTTGTATTTATGCTCTTTGAACAAAAGGCCTTAGGACCTGAATCTGAACCCAGTCTATGGACTTTGGTTGAGTACTCAGTTTGAAAACCATTGCAAGATGGATGGGGTTTTGACCTTGACAGGGTTTCATGAAAACATGCTTCAGAGCATGAGATGTAGAAGCCTAGGAAAGCCATGTAGAATTCCTTCCCTAATACCTACTCTTAGATTGAAAACCAAAATGTCTTGCTCCTTTGGTTATGCAAAAGATTTCAGCACAGATCTTGAGCTGACTGGGTTTGACCGTATGGGTTATACAAAAACTTTGGGGAGTGGATTTCCTTTTAAAGGCACTGACACACTTGTAGGCAGTAGACATAAGTTATTATAATTGCTAAGGGTGCTTATACACATGCAGCGAGGCTGTGCTGACGTTTTGTAATTACAGTGCATGGAGCAGACTTGATTAATTGAGTCTGCTGGAGCGTGGTAATTACCATGTTTTCAGCAGACTCCAGTGTCACATGCATCAGCGTCCCTGCACTGAAAAAAATGGCAGCAGGGGTGCTTTAACTAAAGCTCATTTGACGAGCTTTAGTTAAAGTGCCCCCACTGCCATTTTTCAGTGCGGGGAGGCTAATACACATGACATTCCAGGCACTTTAATTAGAGTGGCTTTTGGGCATTTATAGCTGTGCTCCAGGAGCGGGCAGGCAGTACGCTTTAATTAGAGCAGCTCCGAGAGCTGCTTTAATTAAAGCTCCTGGAATGTCATGTGTATTAGCCTCCCCGCACTGAAAAATGGCAGTGGGGGCACTTTAACTAAAGCTCATTGAACAAACTTTAAAAGTGCCCCCGCCACCATTTTTCAGCGTGGGGATGCTGATACACATGACACTGGAGTCTGATGAAGTGCAGTAATTACCACGCTTCAGCAGACTTGTTTAATTGAGTCTGCTCCAATGTGTTGTAATTACAGCACATCATAGCAGCCTCAATGTATGTATATAGGTGC